GCGTCGGATGTGAGGTTATCCATGTTCTTTGATTTTAGCTTTCTTGAATAAACTAATACTCCATCCGTTTCAATTATATAGGCTTGTTTCATTTTTCACATGGATTAAGAAAGCTTATTTAATGTTATTGGAAAATTAATTTTCGCCAAGATCTTTCATAGTTTACCCCTATTTAATTTTCAATATGTAAAACTAAATTATTGTTGGAACTAATAAAGAATTTGAAGAAGAAATGAGAGTAGTTCCATATTTCCAAGAAGTGGAAAATGTGTGTATTTGGATGATTTCAAGAAATTGGCATATTAAGTGAGAAAAATTTAATAATGGTATATTGGTAAAGGAACACATCAAAATATTCTACATTAGGAAACATGCATATATATTTAGGACAAGATAAAAAAAAACTCAGTCTATATAATTAAGACAGAGGGAGTATCTCCTTTACATGTTTTTCTACATCTCCCCTTGAATTCAAGTTTCCTTTTGTTGATGGCATACTAAAATCAGAATTAGAAGGTAGGGTAGGTACCATAGTTGTCAGACTCGACCCAAACACAGACCCGAACAATACAGCCAGTCAATGGGTTAGTGGTTCAACCGATGACCCAGTGGTTCAACAGGTGGGTCATTGTATAAAAAATTACAAAAAAATATAAAGTATAAATTTTTTTTAGAGGCAAAATTAAAATTTTTAATTTATTTTTCACTAATTATTTAAGTCTATAAAATAAAGTAAAATGTTGGATCAAAAAATTTTAAAAGAATATTTTTATAAAACTTATAAATTATTCATTAAATAGATATAAGTTATTTGCAAACAAGTAATACTAAAAGACTCTATGTCAAGTAGTGAGGAAACCATTATTTTTCTTAGATGTCCAAGGTTCAATTCTCTTGGACCCTAAAATTTTGTAAGAGAATTTTAAAACCTAATCAAACTGGTCAACCGGGCCAGGTAAATCGCCGGTTAACTCGATCAAAGCCCAATTTTGACCGAGTCAAGTGCATTTTGTTAAAATTAATCTACCCGGCCCGGTCAAGGGTCCGAGCCGCCCATTTTTCGAGCCGACCGTCCGAGCCGTGTTTTATAACTATGGTAGGTACAAGAGGGGAGAGACTCACGTCAAAAAACCGATCTTTATGTAAGGTATTCCCCTGAAGAGAGGTTTTCTCAAAGTACAGAGCATTTTTGAAGAATGTGACATCAAAACTTACAAAGATCCTTTTTGTGGTAGGATTATAGCATTTGTTGCCTTTTGTGTAGGAGAATATCCTATCAGTACACATTTAATTGCTCTACGATCGAGTTTTCTCCGGTGATGAGAGTGAACATGGGCGAGTGTGGTGTACCCAAACAGTTTTAGGGATAGATTGGAGCTGAGATGAGAAGTTTGTAAGTATTTCTCAAATTTTTTGAGGGGTGTTTCAAAGTTTAGAGCGCAACTAGGCATCCGATTGATTAGATAAATAGATGTAAAAATAGCATCCTCCAAAAAATTTAAGGCATGTTCGTGGCATCCGATTTAAGGCATTCGGCAATCCCATTTTGTTAGGGAGTGTCGATGCATGAGCTTTGATGAATTATTCCATGTATTTGGAGGAAGTCACCCATGATTTTATTGAAGTATTATGTACCATTGTCTGTGTGTAAGATTCGAGTTTGTGTTTGAAATTGCGTCTGAATCATGGAATGAAAGGTGATAAACACGGAACGAACATAGGATTTATCTTTTAGTACCGAGTGTGATCATCAATAAATGTCCTAAACCATTTTGCGGAGTACGATTTGGGACTCTTAAGGGTCTCCAAATATCCCAAACCATTTTGCGTGAGTACGATTTGGGACTCTTAAGGGTCTCCATTCATCACTGTGAATCATGGTTAATAGCTTTGAGGGTTTGTATCCGAATTTTGAAAATGATGTACGTTGATGTTCTGCAAGCTCATAGATTTCACATTGAAGATTAACTAGCTTATTATTCGAGAAAATAGAAGGAAAAATACGCTTCAAGTATTGAAAATTGGGATGACCCATTCTAAAATATCATAACATAATTTTACTATTTCTAAGGATAGATGCAGAATCACAAACTTTAATTTGACACTGTTTACTCATATCAGCCTCTTCAAAGTAGTAGAGTCCTTCACTTTTCTTAACACTGCTAATCGTCTTCCCCGATGATAGGTCCTAAAAAACACGGTGAGATGAAAGAAATTTAGCAATTAGAAGTTTTCGTTAACTAGCTTATAGACAGTACATTGCATGATAAATTTGGAACGAGAAGGACTGACTCTAAAGTTATAGAATCAAAAAGTCGAATACCCCTTTTTCCTACGACAGCAGATAAGGAACCATCTGCAATTTTAAATTTAAGATTACTAGCACATGTTGAATATGAAGAAAATAGGTGATATGTCATGTGGTCAGATGCTCCAGAGTCGATAATCCAGAGTGTTCTAGATCGGGTTGTGGACTTTAAGGCTCTCAAAAAATTACCTATGAACTAGGGAACTGGAACGATTATTCGTAAGGTTTTGACTCGATGATTGAAGGCTGACAACATTTTGTGGAGTTGCTCCATTTTGTTTGATAATCAACAGAAACTTGGTATCCTCAATTTCTATTATTTTGCCTTGGTTTCCAATTGGCTGGCTTTCCGTGAATGTCCCAACATGTAACTTCCTTGTGTCCTGCCTTGTGACAGTGTTTACACCAAGGGTCAACTTTTTTGCTCTTTTGAACTTGATCCAATTGCTAACCCTTTGGAGTATAAGCCTAATGTTCCAGGCCCATCATTAGAATAATTAGGCCCAATATTACAACCTGACCCAGTGGTTCATTTGATTATTTAGAGGCCCATTCTTAAAATTGGATGGCCTGTTATTATGAGGCCTAACTCCTTTCAACACCAGGCATGAAGCTTCGACATTGGACCTAGACCTATTCATCATCACTCTCCAGCGACTCTTCACGCCTCACCTTTGCAAAAACCTCTCGTGGCGATGGTAGTGGTTTCCATCCGAGTATTCTACTCCTCACATCGTCAAAATCCTGGTGGCGCCCAGCCAAGAACTCAAGAACACGTTCATTCTCCAGCATCTTCAGAGAATACACTGTCTTTTCGGCACTTCCACTTCTCCTCAGAACTAAGGTTGAGTTCTTGCCATAAAGTCGTCATCTCAAGGTAATAAATCGATCACCTCACGTTCTCCTTGCTTCGTTTGCCACAATCGGGACCTGATTTCGAAAATTTGGGTTGAATTTTCGAAATCAGAGTACATCTCCATCACAGCTTCCCAAACGTCTTTTGTTGTGGGTAAGAATAGGTAATTTTTTTCCAATTGAGGGCTTCATGCAATTAACAAGCCAAGCAGTCACCATTGATTTCTCCAATCTCCATCTTTGAAGAAGAGCAGTATCAGACGACATCTTCGTCTCTCCGATTAGATACCCAAGCTTTCCTTTTCCATCAATTATTAGCTTAATAGATTGTGCGCATTCTTTATAGTTCTTCCCATCTAATTTTTCTACCATGAGTTGAAAAGACGAGTTTTCAATTCCTCCAGTGCTAACGGCAGAGGTGGCCTCTATTTCACCCTCGAAGGATTCAGAGGTCATTGAACCTCTATTGTAGGCGGCAACTTCTGTCATTCTGTCGGCTCTGATACCATGAATATAGAATTGGGAAAAAGATTATTCTTTTTTTTTTTCACACGTCTAATGTACAAAACAAGCCCTCTATTTAGAGTACAAGTAACAAGACAACAAAAGGAAAATACAAATCTAGACAATCTCCTATAATCTCTAATATTAATCAATATATTCTTCTATGGAAAGTGGAATCCCCAATAATTCTTCTAATCATGGCTCCAATCACATCTCGGGATTTCAACAATAACTTTAATTTATAACATTAAACATGCACAGCCACTCCACTACTCACAGTGAATGAGGAGAGTTCAAGTAATTGCAAGAGTCTCCATGTAGAATCCATGCAAGCAACGCAAAGCCTAGTCACACAATTTAATAAAAAGAAAAGTAAGATCCTGCCGCATGTGGTCACAAGGAGCATTCACGAAGATCCATACCACTAAATAAAGGAAATATTAACATTTGGAATGTAAATAAAAAGTGCTATTCAAACAATATTGAAGAGATTGATTAATCATTGAGTCCTCTTCGAGACAGCAAGTTCAAAGAGATCAACAAGCATTTACATAAATAATGAATCTTCATGAGATATTAATATATCTAGTTTGTTTGTCTTCTGATTTTTGTATCTGCCATCTATCTATTTTAGTTGTTCACCACAGCATTATGATCAGCAACTGTCCCAACGCATAAACCACAAATTATGACATCAGAAAAAGAGCTTGATGAAACTTAAATTGGGCAACAATTCAAAGATTTAGTTGGCAAAGCCAGTAAGAGGACGAGAAAGCGAGCTGGAAGAATGCTCAAATGTCTGTATAACAAGGCTAGCAAATCAAGTAAAAGATTTCACAGCATTCATACCATAATAATCTACATTGAAATTTAAAAAAATAAAAACAATTGTCATCTAAGAGAATTGGAGCTTCAACTTCGCGAATTCCAAATACGCAGTCCTCAAGGTTTGGGGGGGGGGGGGGGGAAAAAAA